GCCGTGAGGTTATCACCACAGTTTAAGCAGAGAAGATTATTCAGCCAAGTTTCTACAGGGTCGCCGTTAGCATAACGTATGGCCTCCACCAGAGTAATCTCGTAGAGAAGACGTGAGTTGTTTACTAAGGGCAAAACAGGACACCGATGAGCGAGAAGAGGCCCAGTCAAATTAAAAAAGCAGACAGCATAGACAGAAACATCAAGTTACCTGATGACAAACTTTTCCCGACGTTCGTATCATTTGGCCTCTGTTTGGACAGCACAGATGATGCCTCAACGCGTTTGCATTCGGAACGTAGTTGTTGGATTAGCTTTACGGAGAGCGAACGTCCGGTGCCCTCGTAGCCATTCACAGTGGACGCCATAAACACCAACTTAGGTCCAGTAATCATCTGTCGAACCGACGGAAGAGGAATCGCGGCAGCCTCGTCAATACAAAACAGATCCGGTTGCCAACTTGACCCAACAGCGACAGCCGCTTCCCATGGGGGTAAGTAGAGAAGGGTCTGTCGATAATTTCGTCGCCGTACCTCTATGCGGACAACGGCTTTGTTGTGTTCGGCATCAGTAGATCGAAACACGGTGAAATCCACGTGCTCCTCGTATTTTAAGGCCTTTAGACCTAATAGTACAAACTGCATCAGAGTCAACAGGTTTTCGGGACTGGGAGCGGTGACACACATGTTGGGAAGTCCAGCATCGAAAGCAGCCGCAAGACCAAGACCCAATGCGGCAGACTTGCCACGACCGCGTGCGGCCGTCATCACTACAACTGCAGACGAGGCCTTTGACGATCGGGCTCGTCTAGAAGTATCATCATTTGAAAGAGTGTTGATGAGATTTTGTGTTGAGGAATCGAACGAGTTTAGCTTCTCATCGAGTCGACCTTTCTTTTCGGTATTGGCTTTTGAATTTTCAAAAGAGCTCGTGACATCCAAAAGGGCTGAGCAGAACTGTAAAAGGGATTTAGCCTGATCTAACGTTCTGCACAGAGTAACCAATGGAGCAAAGTATGAACCATCCTCACTCAGAAGAAGCTGAAAAAGCAGAGCAAAGCAGTCAGGTAAATATCTTCAAATTAGAGGGGATATTATGAAAACTAAAAGCATAAGGAAATTGCGAATGGCAAAACCCGTTTTCAGGAAATCAACGGAAATCCGACTTTAAAAATGGTAATGGCGTTAACATGGATCTGAGATGTGATATTTCGTTGTATATGCCATACGGGTGGCTAATAAAGGCAAAGTTAATGGAACTGGTAAGCTATTATCCCCATTAGAAAATTTCAGTGTGGCTTCATTGAAGTCGCGCAGCCACTATGCTCAGAAATAACTGACCTTCAGCTTCGACAGTTCTTCTTGCTCCTTCGAAATGAATTCTTTATGAGTAGAACTGGGCACGCTTCCCAAGTTGTTTATAACTGTCTTAGATATTGGCAAAATATTCCATCTGTCATCTAAGACAATACATCTCGGATTGTGTGCCAGTGAAAGAAGGAATCGTTCATTAAACCGACAAACAACATCGGCATGAGCCTCGGTGCGGTAGCGAGCGTGTACATCCATTGCCATCGTACATAGCTGCCGCAGGGAATCCATAGACTTCAGAAGGAATGCAACAAGTCCTCCGCCAGCCACTGTTTCGATAGTTCGTGCTAGTGTATTTGGCGTCAATGCCTCGAAATCCTGAAGAATGCACATATCAAAAGTTTGGCCGAGGATCTTGTGCGTTTCATGGTAATAGCACCAGCGAATTTCCGTAGAGCAAATAAACTGCTCAAAAACAGTGCCTTCACTAACGATGCCTGCCTTGCGACGTTTGCTACAATTAATGAAAGTCAGGCGTATAGCTGACTTACTTCAGGAGCTTCAGATTCCTTTTTCGGTGTCTGAAAAAATATAAGAATCAAAATCAAATTCTTACGTGCTAAATGACAACTCCTTTTTATAGCACCACAAAACTT